TTTTCCAGAAACAAATACTATCCAAAATTTTCTGATATCCTAGTTTTTAACTGTTGTGGCTTGTAGAATCAAAGCAGCTGAATTTGATACAAGCTCAATGTCGTTTCCTTCAAGAATTAACTCATCTTTTTGGGCTCGAAATACTGAACAAGCGATACCTGACCTCATCCGAACCCTGAGGATGTATTTTTCACCCAAGAAATTTCAAATTTCAAAAAGAGAATCATTCTCCTGAAAAACAATGAGAAATGAGCATACACAGACCTCATCTTGTAACGGAATCCCAATGGAACACCCTTGATCATGTTCTGTACACGACTACAGATAGTGAGAACAGTAGCCAGTTCCTTTCTAGTTCCCCATTTGTCATCCTGGAGCCTCTTCTGTTTCTTTCCAAGGAGACTGAGTTCTACAATGGTGTGATTGAAGTCCCTCTGCAGGGTACCCTGGGGCCCTTCATAATTACTGTGTGTCCCTTCAACGTGATATCCACATTTGCTGGAATGTCGACAGTCTGATTGCTGAGAATTGTCTTCATTCTTGCAGTAGATGCAGCAAAGAGCCCTTGCTTAAGGCTTGTAACTGCCAATTTGAATTCTTAACTTCACCTCACTCGGGTGATTCCTCAGTGCTGTTTGACTACCATATTACATTTCCTTAATCCATTGGCCTGCAGTTCTTCTATACTATTTCATTCCTTCTCCTTTCTTTACCTCAAACCACAAATCCCTGTGTTCTCCATCAGCTTTACTTCATTTCACAGAGAATAAGGCATTCTGAAGAGATTTTTCCATTGATATCCACACTTACACCTACCCACCAACCTACCTACCTACCTACCTGTCTGTGTCCACATACTCATCCTTTCCCTCATTGCTGTAGATGAACCCTCCCACCTAAAGCCTACACTTACTAGAGCTCCCATTCCCTCAGGCAGCCCATGAGAGCTCAAGGACATTGTTCTCGTTCCCATACCATCAAAATTTCCCCCTCTAACTGGATTATTCCCACCAGCCAACAAACATTCTGAAATGCATTCCAATTTAGAACAATCAAAACAACAAAAGCTATCTTGACCCCATGCCCCCCTCCAGTTACCATTCCATTTCTCTGTTTTCCTCTTCTGCAAAACAAGTTATACCCACTAACTCCAATTCCATCTTCCCATTCTCCTTTGAACCTTCTCTAATCAGGTGCCATGACATTGCTAAATTCATTGATCACTACTTAGCTGCAGTTGCTTACTCTCCCCTCTTAGAAACACTTTGCTCGCCTTCTAGGACACCACACTCTTTTGATACTTCTATGTCATTAGCAGTTCATTCACAGACTCCTTTGCTGGCTCATCGTCTTCTGGATCTCACTGCGGGAGAGTTTTCAAGGCTCAATTTTCCAAATTCTTCTCTATCTGTACTCCTTTAGTTATTTCTAGTCTCAGGGCTTTATATATCAACGAATAATATATTAATACATCCCAAATTTTCATCTCCAGCTCCAGAACTCTTCCCTGAATTATAGATGCTTATATCCTATTGCCTACATGTCATTTCCACTTGGATATTTAATAGGCAATCACAAACTTAAAATGTCCATACCAAACTCCTGGTTCTTCCCAGAACCTGCTTCACCTATAATTCTTCTATCTCAGTTAATGGAAATTCTATTTTTTCAGTTGGTCCTAAAAACCCTAGGACAATCTTTGATTCATCTCTCATGCAGTACACATTGAACCAGTCTGCAATTTCTTATTTAAAATATGTAAAAAAAAAAAAAAAAAAATTGACTACTTGTCACTATTTCACCATTTCACCCTGGTCCAAGCCACCCTTATTTTTCACACAGATAATTGCAATAGCCCCTAAATTATTTCCTTGCTTCTGCTCTTGTTCCTTGTTTCCTTACAGTCTACTCTGAACACACTGGGCAAAGTGATCCTTTTAAAAAATAAATCAGACTATGTCATTCCTCTACTCTTTCAATGGAGTATCAATATGAATTCTTGGTTTTTAATGTGTATAGATATAGAAATAAATGTATGCACATACACAACGTATACACATACATATACTTTCTAGGTATGATACACAAGTCATGATAAGTACACCAAGTGTCCAGATCTTAGTTACTAAATATCATTTCCTGCTAAAATGAACCAGGGCTCCTTGGAAATAAGGCTAATTCCAGGGCTACAGCTGGGGAATTACAAAATGCTCTTGAAACATTTTGTTGCATTAGAAAGTAAAGAGGTGATCAAAGAATATTGGGTATATATCAAAAAGAAACAGTAACTAGAGGCTGCGGCCAGCCAAAAGGGTTCTCATTGGCTAAATCTGGGACAATTTGAGCATTAAATAAATAATGATCGTGGTGGATTATAACTCATTGAATCAAGTAAGAATCCAAAGTTCAAATCAGTATAAATAAATGAGAGGAAAAGCAAAAGCTCTGTTTATAGTAAACTGCCAACTAATAAATATAGGAGTATTGCAGTTAAAAATCATCAATGGACACTAAACTAATGGGTAAATTTTTGATGAGATAGTAAAGAATCTCAAAGTATCTTCTCACAAATTATTAATTATTGCTAAGAGGAAATAATAACTTTACAGTGGAGAACTCTGGTGGACACCATTTTAACCATGTCATCAAAGTCAATATCTCAATATTGGGACAAATTGACATGGGTCTTCTGATGTGATGCAATGAGAAGGACACATCACTTCTGTGGTGACATTCCTTACAAAAATGCATAACCTGAATAATTTGATTCTACCCATAGAGAAACATCTGACAATCCAAACTGAAGGACGTTCTACAAAATAACGATCCTGAACTCTTCAAAACTGTGAAGATCAAGAACAACAAAGATTCTTCCAGATTAGAATTTAATAACTAAACTATCAATTAAATTAAGGAAAGACATTTTTCAGACATACGATGTTAAAAAAGAAAACAAAAAAAACCCCCATCCATTCCTTCTCAAAGCAGACTAGAGATTGCACTGCACCAAAACAGAGGAAGTAAGCCAAGAGGACATGAATGACAAGAAACCCAGGGTCCAACACAAAAAAGACCTGAAGGGAATTCTCAAGATGATGATGAAGTCCCAGGAGCTGTGTAGCAAAGACGGCGAAACCAGTCCAGGTTGGAGGAGTAAGAGTGCTCCAGAAGGAAGACTCTTTAAAAAAATTTTTTTTAAAGCTGAAATTGATGGATTACATGACCCGTTTGCTCACACTGGAGAGTTTAAATTGAGTTTGGGTAAAGAATTAATAATACATCATAGAAAACTTAAACCAAAAAATAAAGCAATTATTAACTCTAAAAAAAATAAAACTGCACAATAAAGGTGACTCAAATTTAAAAATATTTACCTTACCATAATAATAAAACACTAAATGTTTGTTTAACTAAAAATTACAGAACACCTGAAACAAATACAATATTATATATTAGCTATATTTTAATAAAAATATTTTTAAAAATTACAATTACAGAACTGGAAGAATGAAGGAGAAATAAAAACACCTGTGAACAGAGGTCTGGAGGAACAGAGTAGAAAGCCAGTAAAAGTG